GAAGGCTTCTTCAGCATTCTCGATTTATGGCTGGTAGGTGGATTACTCAACCGCAACGTAAAGTTATTTAATAGGTAATTTTTCACGGAGGGTATCCCCTTCTCGTGCTGGGCTATAAGTTGACATGACAGCAGAAATTTAAGGCATCATAAAAAGAACAAATGACTATGGATTTCAGACTCAAAAGGAAGAAACATTTTTTCTCATACATCGGATGGTAATTGCCCCGCGGACGCAAGAATCTGTTTTTCCATGGTGAACTCAAATTAAAGGAAGATTATCGGTTGAGTTGTGGAAAGTTCATAACAAGAGGAATTGTGTTGGAGAGTAAGCCTTACGAAATTCAGGTCAGGAAAAAGAGAGCAATTTCGGTGCCCTTGGTAATCGGATACCGGCCGGTAACTGTGAGAACCGATCCTAGAAAGGCAGGTTATGTTGGTGCTGGCTTAATTTCCGTTTGGTTTTGTTGGTGGTGAACTGTCGTTGTGAAAACACGACACAAGTTGACCTTTTCGTGGCTGATGGCATTGATGGAGAGAATAAGGATATCCCTTTCACAACGGCTGCACGTGGTCCATTAGTAATGAAGGGTATTCAAAATTAACAGTATGAGAAGGCTTTACTCTAGCAGTTCGGAAAAGTCCATCATAAAGTTTAGAACCCACCCGCACCTCAATTTCCGCTGCTCGCAGCAGTTCTTGGATACCGAAGGCAAACTTTTCCATGATGCAGCTCTCGTGATAGTCCTTCATAGCTAAAAGTTTTCCCTCACCAGCAGCAGATGCTTCACTTCCGATTTTTTCCTTTGCTTTCTTCTGTGTGGTTTACAAACTTGCTTCATTGTTTTTGATAGATACTCCATCCCGTTACCTACCATCATCGAGATCGCTCGCTACAGGAGAAGAATTGCGATGTAAAAGACAAACAATTAATTTGATTCAACATAATGAAACTGCTGGTAGTGGCTTGGGCATTCAATTGCTGTGGCAGAAAGCTCCGTTCCAATCAGGAAATGGATAGACTTTTCGTTCGGAATAAAAATCAGGATTAAAGTATATCCTAACTTACATTAGCTGTTGAAAGTTTTCGATGGAATGGTTTGTTTGTCGTTGTCATTTGTAGATTGCACATGTAATGTAAATTTGCTTTTACTATCAATTTACCAGAGCTGTAGCATCTTTTGAGGTATGGGATTGGAATAAAAATGGTTGTGGAATCAAACAGCAATATGCATTTCCTTTTTAATTTAATGTATTGTGAACTTGTATATGTACATATCTATAAAAGTTTGGGAAAATCACCGATGGGTACCATGAATGACAAACTGAGTGTCATTTATCGCAAGGGAAATATACATCGTTTGAAATATTGATGTTAATTTCTGCGATGTCAATTGGTTCAACAAGAAGCTGGGACAGCACCGGCGTAGTGTGTAAGACCCATACCTCTCTAGTTATGCGTTCAAATCTTATCCCCATACATCCCGCCGTATAATTTGCTTGGATTTAACAAAACCAAATAGAGATTTTTTGACTACCGGTGAGATCGAAAATACATTCTGGCAACCATGACGAATTTTTGTTTGAAAATCATTTAATCGATAATGACGATGATACAGGAATGAAACTCTTCAAACTAACATTAGGTTATTTACTCTTATCCAGTGAGTTAAGGTGAGGTAATTTTTCTAAGAATGCTTTCAGGAAGGTTCAGCGACTTTCAAGGTAATTCTGTGAGCAATAGAGAACACTGCAGTGAACTTTAGGAAAGTTCTGCAAACTTTAAAGATGTTCTGCAAACTTTAAAGATGTTCTGCGAACTACAGCGCAGTTTTGTGAATTTCAGTGAAGATTTTTGATCTTAAGCAAAGTATTACAAACTTCAGGAAGTTATACAAACTCCAGGAAAGTTTTTTTTTTAATTCCAGTAAAGGTCTGTGTGAACTTCATAAATGAGGTTCTGATAACTTAACGGAACAGCTTTAACCATTGCGGACATTCTGCATTTTTCGGCAAGTTCATTGAACTTGAGCTAAATTCTAAACTTTCGTAAGGTTTTGCAAATCTTAGGTCTTCAGGATATTTTTTCAAACTTCAAGGAACTTCTACGAACTTGAGAAAACTTCTGCAAACATATGTACACTCCCGATCATAAGTTTGGGGTCACCCTTCAAAAAATTTGCAAATGTGTTTTGTTCATGTCTTTGTCATTTTACGTCCAATTTTCGTTCTCCTAAGGTAATTTGAAAGGTATTGAATACAATTTACTAAGTATATAAATGACTCAATATATTTTTCATACTTTGTATACTAAAAGCTTACCCAAAATAACTAATTTTTTTCAAAATTTACAATGTTTAATCATGAAACATAAATAAAGTGAAGTTGAAGTTCTCTGGACTTCTTGAAAATCTGGGAACTTCTTAAAATTTCACGCTATTTTTCTGAAATTAAAAGATTTGCAGTGAAGGTTCCTCAATTTACAAAACAGCCCTGAAGCTTACGGATCTTCTTTTAAAAAGTTTTTGCAATTTCTTAATATTCTCAGAAATCCTCTAAAGAGTTCGAATCTACCCTGACGTTCTCTGGAATTCTATGAAGTTTCCGCGGTTTTCCTGAAATTTCTCATCCCTCCTTGAGTTCTTTAAAATTCCTTGAATTTTTTACTTCTTTAAATTGCGTGATTTGTGGGTTATTTTTCAATGTTTGTTTTCAAGATGAATAGAAATAATGTCATGCTTTAGGATTAACTAAATAGTTATATCGTAAACCATATTTTAAACCTCCTTCTTCCCTTTTCCCATCAAAAAAATTGTAAATCTCCACTAACCTCGAGACAACCGCGAGTACTCGGTCCAGTTCCTTTAACTTTAAATATAAGACAGTAATAATGTATAACGGAAAGAATAACTCGGCTCTGTAAAGTTTATTAGATTGAGCCTGTACAAATAAAGTAATTATTAAAAAAAAAAGTTGCGTGATTACCTCTCACCCTAGAAGGCCTGGGTTCAATCCCAGTCGGCGTCGCCGGGATGTTCTGAGGTATAAAGTCGTTGGTCCCCGGTTCATGAGTTCATGGGTCCATAGGTAGGGTATAGGTATGGGAGCTGCCTCCCTGGCGTCGGTAGCATTGGTGCTCAGCACGGAAAACAAGATCGTCGGAAAACGAACCTTAGGAAAAAAAAATCTTTAAGTTCCTTCAATTTAACTTATGTTCTAAATATTTTCTGGTGCACATGAAAATTCCTTTAATTATGGAAATAAATTCATCATTATTTTAAAATTTTCCCAATAGTGACTTTACTGTTGTTTAATGTAATTTCCTTATATTATTGGTACTGCTAGAAAGATTTCTGAACTTCCCTTAAATTCTCTGGACTTCCTCGAATTTATAAATATATTTTAAAAATCCCAGTAATTATACTGAAGTTAATTAAATTGCCAACCTTGATATTTCTTGAGGTTCCCGAAATTTTCTATAAGTTTTGTAAACTTCTTAAAAGCTCACGGAACTTCACCTACATTTTTTTGCCTGTACTTTTTTGGATATCTATGAAGTTTCCTGCAATTTACCCCTTATTAATGGAACAGCTCTGATCGCCCTTGAAGTACTCAGAAACTCCCTGAATATAATGGACCTTCCTAAAATGTCCAAACTTTTTAGAAGTTCACTGATCTTCGCTGAGGTTCCCGTTGTACCCTAAAGTTCTTTAAGCTATCATGAATATCATGGAATTCCCTAAAAATCTGTTCAGAACTTCCTCATGTTTTAAAGTTGCTGCAATTTTTTTGAAACTTATTGAACTGCCCTTATAGATTCTTTGATTTGTCTTAATGATCATGGAGTATCCCTAAAGCTCTCTGATGTTCTTGGTATTGCCCTGAAATAAATGGAACCATCCTAAAAATCCACTAAACTTTCTTGGTGTTCTTTGGGATTCTTTGATGTTCCAAAATTTTCAATAAAGTTTCCTTAAGTTCTTTGGACTACTTTGAAATAATCGAAACTTTTTTAGGGTTCTTGAAATTTTCGAATTTTTCTTAACATATGCTTACTCTTGAAACTTCCTCGAAGGTCAGTACTTTCCTGCAGTTCTGGGAACTTCCGTAAAGTTATTGGAACTGTCCATAAGATCTCTGTAATTTTCAAAATTCTAGATTCAGCTTCTCTGAGGTACTTGGAATCAATAATTTTCTTTGTTTGCTCTACATCTCTGAAGTGCACTGAACTTACCTAAATATTCCTGAAGTTCTCAGAACTTCTTAAAACTTTATGCAGTTTGCCTGAAGCAAATTGATCCTCCTTGATGCTTTTTTAGCTTCCCTGAAGTTTCCAAAATATTCCAAAAATTTTCGGAACTGCCATAATGTTCTCGCAGTTTGTTTATGAAACTTCCTTGAAATTATCGGCATTTCCATAAATTCATCGGAACTTCTACAAAATTATATCAATTTTTAAAGAGTGTACCGTTTAAAATCCGCACACACAAAATTAATTCTCAAAATTCGGGTTTTTATCCGATTATCACCAAATTTTCAGAAACTAAAAACAAACAATTAAAGTTAGTTTTGGTATCATTCATTTAATTTATTTCGTCTTTATATTCGAATGCGCGAACCTTGACCTTAACCCCAGCCATAAGGTTCTGCACGACCTCAGAACAGACAGTTTTTTTTTGCATATTAACCCTTGCTTTCTTAATTTCGTCTACATTACATTATTCACCACTTAAGGTCATTTTAGAAGGTTTCATAGTGGCCCACCAGATGCAAGGACGTGGCCAGGACAGCTCTGGTCTTTTGAAGGGAGACACATCCTTTATCTAAGAGGTAGTAATTAATCACAAATTACTATCTAACAGCAATGGATGGTCTCCTTCTTAACAAAAGTTTGGAGCTCGTACCACATACGACATTGTGCAACCTGGTTTATGTTATGCTATGCTAAATCGACATCATTCGCCTTATACCACGCTAGCACGTCCTTCGTATAGTGGCATGATGCCAAATCCGGCCAGAAGATCATCGGACCGTCGAGAGCCTCCGCTATCCGTAAGTACAAATCACTTGCCAAATTAAGAACTTCTTGGCGAACTTCGACATATTCTGGGTCTGCAGGTTCTCGGGAACATCACACTTATCCTTGGCAGTCAAATGCAGGTTTCCTGGAATCTGGTTGAAGCCGCCTGTGGTCTCGTTAACTTCTGATCGTTCAACTTCCCGGCACGGCTGTACGTAGTCAACCTCGAGTTTTGGTATTCTGCACGAAAGTCTTGCTCACATGCAACTTTTAGCCACATCTCGAACTGATGCGTTCGGTTTCCGTTTAAAGGCCCCAACAACGCGTTTGTGATCGTTCTCGTTGACCCGACAGATTTTTTTTCGTATCTTTGCTTCCGATCAACAGTAAGACGTTCTTCGAACCGTTTTATGATACTAGACACCGTGGAATTCGCGATTCCCAACTTTTTTTTCTCGATGGCACGATGCGATTTATTTATCCTACGCAATGCGATCCTTATTCTAATAGTCAGAATAGATGTCGATAAAACGCCTGCGCTTAAAATCTATAGATCAACTATTGTAAAACGAGATAAAAAAGCTTTTATCTAACGGAAAAAGTTTCTGATCAAATGTACAGTGCGGCACACACAAATCGAAAATATTGCACCAAAGTGGGTACCATACTATGTTGGACAACAAAATGTAGGGCACGACATATTGTAACAATGAACGTTGCCTCTAATCCTTGAAAAAGGTTAAATATATAACCGAAACCGTCGGGTATTGAAGCAATAAACGTTTTTGCTGTTTTTTGAGACTGCTTGAGCCGAAAACCGTCCATATAAACTTATTCTCAAAGTACTCGTGCAAAACTTTTTCACGCACGCACTGTTCTTTCGTCGCCCTTTTTAAAAACTTTTGCGCACCTCACCTAAATCAACTCATAGAGTGTAAAAAATACACATTAAATTATGTATACGCAAAATTTCAATTAGTTTTAACCAACGCATCAAACGTTAGAACAATTTGAGTGTGTGCGGATTTTGAACGGTACACCCTTTATATTTATTAAAAATAATATTAGGTTTTTAGAGCAGATTACTCTTGGAGTAACCATGAGCAATCAGCACGACAGGCCTGTTCTGGACAGAAGGAGTCTCGACAGAAGGGACTCTCGACGAACAGATATGTGTTGTTGCTGAAAACAAGTCAGCTGTCATAAAACTTTGGTTCCCTTTGTGAAACTGTTGTCTTTTTTCCCTTGATTTGTTTTCCGTGCTCAGCACCAATGCTACCGACACCAGAGTGGCATCTCCCACACCTAGACCCTACCTATCGACCCATCAACTCATGAACCGGGGACCAACGGCTTTACTTCCCTTCCGAAGAAAGGCGTGATCAGAGATGTTATGCCTTTAGAACATCCCGGCGGCGCCGACTGGGATTGAACCAAGGCCTGCTGGAGTGAGAGGTAATTAATAGTGTCATGCAGCTCTTTTACGTTAAGATTTCGGGAAACGTGTCTGCTTGCAGTTTTATATTGAACATCATCACTATATCATAAATGTGTATGCTGTAAGTATGTGTAAGTAGTAAATGAAGTATAAAGTAGTTTTAACAAAATTATATCGTGATTATATCAACTTATGTTATACATAATAACCGTTGATATAATCTTGTTTTAAGAGCTCTGTGGTGAAATGAGGAATAAAAAATCATCATGGTATTTGATATAAAATTGTTACACAATTTGTTAGAATAAAATTTAAAACAACATTTTAACTAAGTTTGTTAGCATTAGTAGCACGAAAAATGAAACGGTTAATTTAATTTTATTTTTTGTTTTGTTTTAGTCTTGATCCGGTCGTAGAATTTAAATTTTTTAAGGGCTATGGAAAAGTTTTTCACATGGTATTGGGCTAATAAGGTTAATGTCCCTAATGTCAGCCTAAGTGTCCCTAATATTGGGCCCATAAATAAATTTTGAAGGATATTTATTAATTTTTTGATAATGATAAACTAAAAATCAAACATATTCATTTGTATATGATGCATTGTTCTACGAAAAAATTAAGAACGGGAGATTTTTATTAGATCCATAGACCAAAGTAAGTGCTTTTTCTCCTATTTTTTTAAAGCATTCTCTTCTGATTGGGATGCTAAGAATTAATTTAATTATTACAGTCAACTCTCCCTTACTCGAGCTCTCCTTAACTTGATTCTCCCTAATTCGATGGAAATCCAGGGGCCTCATTTCGCAAGTCGAATCAAACTACCTTGCCCAAAGCGACTATACATTGATTCCATAATACCTGAAAATGTTACGTTGGTGATTAAGAATGCACAACTAGCATTATAAAATTGAAATTGTTACTGCAAGACGCTTCTGATCAAAAGGCTTAGCTAGATTTTAACTATCTAGGGGCGATTGCGCAATAATAGTGTGAACCAATGATATATTTGCTCATGAACGGAATCCAAAAACATAAATTATCAGTTTAGTAGCGTTCTTTGAATTTTGACGTGCACCATTTCAAATTAATATTTTGCAATTTGTGGAAGACAATATGTTTTTGACGATATACAAATTAAAATGATCAATGGAAAATTGCAACACTAACCGTCGAACATTTGCAATCAAAACTAACCGCGAATATATCTTTAATTTGCAATGGTGTGGGAGACAGATCTCAACGCATAACCAAACAAAATGTGCAACTAACACTATATTAGAATTCAAATAGTGCATATGCAATCAATGAATCGCTTTCATCGTATTTTTGTTTTGTAACATATACTTAAATTTATTACTTTCATATAGCTAAGTTTAATGTTTATGCTATTTTAAAATCAGAAAAAATAAAATTTCTTATTAGCGAGTGCAATGTAAACGGCAATATTTGAAAATTATAACAAACTTTATTACAAATATACTTAGCCATTTACGTCAGTGCAGCAAGGGTGCAGAGAGTGAGAGGTGTTGGGAACACACGATTTATTTTTAACTCAGACGGCCAGACCTACTGCACACCATTTAAGGGGCAAGATAATTTAGAAACATTGGGCCTGTTGAAATCCAAGATGTAAACACGATGCTTCAGAATCCAATAAATGGATGAAACGTGGACATACCGTACCATACCGTTCCGTTATATTGTTATTTATACATCATTGATCGTTGGAAGCATCTAGTCTAAAAAGGTTAAGTGATGCTTCATTTTCTTCTAGCGGTTGGGACCTGAGCACTAACTTTTGTCCTAACCCTACCGTGCGGGACTGAAATCCGTACACCTAAGCACGAGATAATCATTAATGGTAAATATTTAATAATGCTATCACATTATGCTCTGTATCTCATCTTTTTCCTATACATTTATCTTTACTTTACCATTATTTGCAAACACCAGGTCTTAAAATTACCTTTAGTTATTAGAAAAAAAGTATTTAAATTGCACTTATCTTGAATCAAAATCCGTACAGCGTTCTACGATTGAATCAAAATCCGTACAATTTTGAATCGAAATCCGTACACTGTGTTGAGGATGAATCATAATCCGTACATGAATGTGAATCGATCCAAATCAATGAAAAAAAAACATGTTGCTATCTTGAATAATGTATTTTTTTAGAAGTTGCTTGGCTAGGAGTCCAAAACAGCAATACTCGTTTATATACACTAGTTTACAGCATATTTGAACTTTATACGCTGAAGGTCATTTCCCATGTAAAATCGTACGCTGAATCCAAAAATGTAGTCAAAAAAATCTCAGTAGGATAGTTTTGGAGATATAGCTAAAAAATGGAATCTCACTTTAAAAAACCTGTTTACTAAAACACAAATATCTCCGGCTGTAATGAAGTAATATTAATTATTTTAAAATTTTACGTGATAAAATTTGACTCCAATCAAGTGCATTTTGTTTAACTTTTATTTTTTTAACTAGTGATATCAGCGTTAGATTAGTTGATGCTCCAATCGATTCAAAGGAAAGGTAACTAATTTCTTTTTACTTAAGAAGGTGACGGTTCTAGATTTTTATGCTAACTAATATCATGTTTAAGGATTCATTTCCTCCAAATTTTATTCTATACCAGTGCTTTGGGTTTAATATTAATACTAGAGTTTACCTCCGATCACAACTTCGAGGTCTTTGAAAATTGACATGTGATAACGTGCAAGATGCGCCATACTTTGGAACTTGGTGGTACTCGAGCTCAACGCTACAAAACATTATTAACCGGGACTAAACTGGGCGGTGTAGCTTGGACAATGTTGTCGAATCAATAATAGCAAACTGAAGAGAAGACTGCCGAAACATCTTTAATACACCGATAATGGAAACGCTCCACCAACCCACTGGCATCAAGCGATAGAATAAGCGGTTCCTAAGATGGTAGCTCTATAATAGCGGATAAGTGAAAAAAAAAATACAACCATCTTAAAAACCAACAAAAAAGACAATGAACTGACATCAAGGATTAGTTTTTCGTTTTATGCATGAAAAATAAAATTGGTAAGTTATCGACTAAAACTTAATTTAATTTAAAACGTCAAGAGAGTAATAATAATAAAAATGTAGATCTTCCATTGCTTCTTTTCCGCAGCTTTCTTCTGCTTCTTCTCCATTGTTGCCATTGCCTTTTCAAGTTATAATGCTTTCTTGATTCCAACTTTCTTTCCTCTCCTTCCTCTTTTTCCTCCTTTTCCTCTCTCGCTCAACCTTTTTCTTTTGTCGTTCTTTAATCCTTTGTTTCTTTGCGTTCTCTTTATCAATTTTCTCCCGTTCTACTTTCATGTATATTTCCGGCCATTCCTCGCTGGTGGCTACTGCTGGGAATGCTCTCTTGCCCATTTCTGTTTGCTCTCTGTAATTTGTATATGCGTGTTGGTGATATCCTGTAGGGGAGCTGCGTTGTTTTCCTTTTCCACTGGTTATTGACGCTCTTCATTAAAAGATATTAATAATATAACATTTACAATACGAATAAAATAAGAGAGTAGTGATTCAAAACGGCATCTCTTATGGTGGTGAATGGAACGGAAAAAT